ATATTGGACCATGCAAAACACAATTTAACCTTCATAAAGCCTCACAGGGGAAGATTTATGTAAAAAAAACTAAACCTGGACATTAAATTATGTTTTGTTTTTATAATGTTGTTGTTGGCATGCATATAAATATACTTGTATCATAACTTAGTGTACGTTTGATTGGTTATTGGTAAACATCTATTGATTAACCCCCCCCGGTTAAAACTCTACCGCCACTGGTTCAATATAGATGCTGCTTCTAGTCCAGCAAATATCCCTGCTGTTCAGTATTTAAAAAGAAATGTCTCATAGCTCAGTGCCAGATTGTAGCACATACAACACAATGGCTGGAAATGGATTAAGGTAAATGTAAATGTTCTCCAATCCCTCACAGAGCTGCAAACTATTAAAACACAAAACTTAACCATTTACACCAAAACCAGCAGCTTTTACTTTGTGGTTTATCAGACTGCAGAAACAGTCTGTATTTTCTCTTGTGAGTTTAGAGTGCTTTCACAAGAAACCAGCCAAACATGTGACAGGATCACTCACAGACAGCAACAGCTGAAAAACTCACCACTGGAACAGTTAGAGCCCCCCCAGCCTGGTTCACATCGACAGGTGTTGGGTGCCATACAACTGCCATGAACACAGCTGTCTGCACAATACGCTGGAAAAGGAGGACAAAGAGACACAAAAAACTATTATTTTCATTTCTTCATTCCACAGATTTAAAGTCAAAGTTTAGTCAGTTTTTCTGTATAGCACTAATTTGTGCTAATGGTGATTGTGACACTTTAAAACTCACTATAGAGAAATAAACAATTGACTATAGGCCAGTCATACAGACAGATCCAGTCTGCTGCAAACTTTCTCAATCAATCCAAATATATTCCACTGTATTCTTAGCTTAGCTGAAATCCAATAAACAGATCATTAATGCAGTGAAAAGATAAAACCTCCGCTGGTGAAGCAGAAACATTCAGCGTAGCCTGGCAAGGAAGGGCAGACACACACACAACAGCACACAACAGCACACAACAGCACACAACAGCACACAACAACACACAACAGCACACAGCAGCACACAGCAGTACACAACAGCACACACACACAACAGCACACAACAGCACACAGCAGCACACACACACAACAGCACACACACACAACAGTACACAACAGCACACAACAACACACAACAGCACACAGCAGTACACAACATCACACAACAGCACACAGCAGTACACAACATCACACAACAGCACAAACACACAGCAGCACACACACACAACAGCACACAACATCACACAGCAGCACACACACACAACAGCACACAACATCACACAGCAGCACAAACACACAGCAGCACGCAACAGCACCCAACAGCAGCACACACACACAGCAGCACGCAACAGCACACAACAGCAGCACACACACACAGCAGCACGCAACAGCACACAACAGCAGGCAACAGCACACAACAGCACACAAAAGCATGCAACAGCAGGCAACAGAACACAACAGCACACAACAGCACACAACAGAACGCAGCAGCACACAACAGCATGCAATAGCAGACAACAGCAAGCAACAGAAAGCAACATAATGCACAGCACACAACAGCACACAACAGCACACAACAGCAGACAACAAAACACATCAGAATGCATCAGAACGCAACGGCATGCAACAGCATGCAACAGCACACAAAAGCACGCAACAGCATGCGACAGCACACAACAGCATGCAACAGCAGACAACAACAGACAACAGCACACAACAGAATGCATCAGAATGTAACAGCACGCAACAGAAGGAACAGCACACAACAGCACACAAAAGGCCACAGCAGCACCCAACAGCAGACAAAAGCACACAACAGCACACAACAGAAGGAACAGCACACAACAGCACACAAAAGGCCACAGCAGCACCCAACAGCAGACAACAGCACACAACAGCACACAAC